TGTCTAAGTCTAAAGGACTGTGGTCGAAGGCCCGCATTACTGCTAAATTTCCGTTTAGCAAAAAATACCATTTTTCCTTTGAACATTATTAAGGAACATACGTATTCATAGGGCGGTGAGACCGATCGGTAGGTAGTGGGCGCTGAACTCCTGTGTTTGAGTTCGAAGCCGAAGAAATTTTGAATTTCTACTAACCACCAACTCACTTCAACATCGAATTTACCTCACGTAGTTGAGGATAATCAGTCGATAAGCAGATAGCGCGTCGTTGGCTTGCCACCAAGACACTCTTGATAAGAATTTATGAAATAAACGGCAAAGCAAAGCGGTCAAATACCATTGCGTCATATAGCGTCATTTCTTCAGTTTGCCTTTACCAGCTTGAATTCCGACCCTCAAGAGTGATCGCCAGCACACGGTGTGAAAAACACAAAGTTCAACGCGGCATCGAGTTTAGTGCTTGACTGTCTCCACTGAAAGTTTTTATTCATATGATGGAGAAGTTATGATAAAGTAAAATAAAATCCAGAAATGCAATTTTTTAATTGCACCTGAAAATATTACATTTTTTTACTCATAACATATTTGGGAGCTAGGTGAATACTCCAGTTCGTTTTCTCTACGTAATTCCGTTGTCAATGGATTATTATGATATTTCACCATCGGAATTAGAACCTGTTGTTCCTGGTAACTACTCCTTTACGTTGAAATCATATTTTGTATTTTGTGTACATCTTGGAGTTTTTCTAGAGACAACCTGTTTTGTTCACAGATACAAAGCAGGCACTTTAACAGTATGAAGCTGTGACCTGCTTAAATCATCCAGCTGGGTGACATGAGCAGGATGGGGTACCTTTTGCTGCGTAACTTCAGTGTCAGTAAATTAAATGGCGAAAGATTACGATCTGTTTGTTGATTGGTGCTTCTCCAACCTAACGAACTCTTGTCACCCCTCCTGATTTACATCGCGTAGTCACACTGTACCGACGCTACGAATTGCACGGTACCATTTCCTCAAGCCATGGCTCAAAGGGCATTATGAGACATACGGTGCATAAATCCAAAATCATATCATTCTTCAGTTGATAAAGCGCATAGCCATTAGATATACAGTTGATTGCGTGCTGACTAAGTTGCGGAACTCACAATATCCTCGAATGCGTTTCTATCAGCAGTACTGCACTGGTTAAGCATCATTACATCTGTTCAGACGTATCTCTAGGTTTGAATGTACACATGACTCTAGGCTGTTCGGTCGCAGCTGTAAACAAAACGATCTAGTTTATTTTGTGAACTATCAAGCTCTATTATCTTTTAATGTGCAACTGCAATATATAGTATATAATATGTTAATATAGTATGGATCTTTTGGGAAAATTGTTTATACTGCTGAAATAATGGGCAATAGTTACTGAAACACGAACCTCAAATGTGACTCTGGTTGATAAAATCTGTCTCTATAAAACTATGGGAAATTTGGAGCAGGAGTTAAAACGGCGGAAACGCCGTCTGTCTTGAAGACCGTGTTTGATCAGAAACCGCTTAGTCATCGCCTCGGTTGTAGATTCAGGCATACGACTAATTGTTGGGATTTTTGCTTCATATTTAAGGCTTTCATGAGTTAATACTTGGTCACTCAAATTTCCAGCAACGACAATGACCATTTTCTTTCATGAAGACTTCTGAATTGGAAAAAATACTTAAATAAGAGATCCTTGTCTTGAACAGTAAATAATCCTTCA